GACATAAAGTTTTATGTGTGGAATGCCATTATCAAGAATGAGGCACATGAAGATCTTTAATTCTCACAATGGTCAGAGTAGTTATGACCCCCGTTTTCCAGAATAGGAAACTGAGTTGCACAAAAGAATCAGGAGCTTTCCCAAGGTCACACAGTTTTTAAGTGGTGAAGAAATTTAAAGCCGGATCTGCTGAAGTCCAGAACATGGCTTAGTACCACTGGGGCTGTAGGCGGAAGCCCAGTAGATAAAATTGTGAGTTGGGGCAGGCACAGTGGCTCATGTCTATAATCCCAGCACTTTGGGAGGCCAACATAGGATGATGACTTGAACCCAGGAGTTCAAGGCTGCAGTGAGCCGTAATTGTACTGCTGCATTCCAGCCTGGGCCACACAGCAAGGCTCCATCTCTAAACAATAAATTGCCGGGCGCGGTGGCTCAAGCCTGTAATCCCAGCACTTTGGGAGGCCGAGACGGGCGGATCACGAGGTCAGGAGATCGAGACCATCCTGGCTAACGCGGTGAAACCCCGTCTCTACTAAAAATACAAAAAACTAGCCGGGCGAGGTGGCGGGCACCTATAGTCCCAGCTACTCAGGAGGCTGAGACAGGAGAATAGCGTAAACCCAGGAAGCGGAGCTTGCAGTGAGCTGAGATCCGGCCACTGCACTCCAGCCTGGGTGACACAGCGAGACTCCATCTCAAAAAAAATAAATAAATAAATAAATTAATTAATTAAAAGATACAAATAAAATTATGAGTTGAGCTGCTCTGGTTTGAGTTTGGGTGTGTTAGGTTGGAAGAGGCCAGCTCACTGAGACTTTCCCTTGTGCCCTGTAGGACCCTTGGAAACCTTGATAGCACAAAAGCAGTTAAAAAAAACTGGAAACAAATGTCCTTCAACAGAGGAATGAATCACACCTTCTGGTATATTCATTCAGTGGAATACCTACTACTCAGTGATAAAAAGATAACATTTCAAAATAATTATGCTGAATGAAGAAGCTAGACAAAAATGAGAGCATACTGTGTGATTGCATTTATATAACTCTAGAAAATGCAAACTAATCAATAGTGACAGTAAGCAGATCAGTGGTTACTTGGGGGCAAGGAGAGGGTGGGAGGGATTACCAAGAGGTGCCAGGAAACTTTTTAGGTGATTAATATGGTCACTATCTTGATTGTGGTGATGGTTTCATGAGTGTGTGTGTATGTATGTGTATGTGTTAGATATATATGTATCTTAATTATACACTTTATTCCTTAGGTAGGAGATAGCAAAAAAAGTTTACACTTTAAATATGTGCAGTTTATTGAATGAAATTATACCTCAAAAAAGCAGTTAAAAAAAACTTCAGCTGGGTGTGGTGGCTCATGCCTGTAATCCCAACACTTTGGGAGGCTGAGGCGGGCAGATTGCTTGAGCCCAGGAGTTCGAGACCAGCCTGGCAACATGGTGAAACCTTGTCTCTAAAAAATATATATATGTAAAAATTAGTTGGGCATGGTGGTGTGTGCCTGTGGTCCCAGTTACTTGGGAGGCTAAGGTGGGAGGATTGCTTGAGCCTGGGAGATGGAGGTTGCAGTGAGCGGAGAGTGTGCCACTGCACTCCAGCCTGAGTAACAGAGATCCTGTCTCAGAAAAAGAAAAACGACACACACACACACACACACACACACACACCACTTCAAAATTCAAAAGACTTGCTCAAGCTCACTCAGCATGCTGATGGGGAGCCAGGCCAGGCCAGAGCTCCCCCTGTGGCTCACACCTATGTGAGGAAGGGAGCCTCCCCCAAATACAGCCCCCAGGCTTCACCCCATACTGAGGGCCAGGGTAGTTTCTCTCCAGTCATGGTAACGTGGGTACTGGACAAGCCAAGGCTCTGGTCACCAGGCAAATGGGTAGGTCAACAAAGCAAAGTTGGTGGGAGCTTCACCCCATCAAGCCCAGAAACAAGGGTTGGTTACTGGGAACACCCTAGGGGAGGCTGTACTCACAACCAGGGATCTTTGACAAAAATAGAAACCTGCTAGAAGGATTAGAAGAGACAATCTCTTCCTCCGTCAAATTACCTGGGCCAACACCTACTGAGCACCTACCACGTGTGAGGGTCTGCCTTAGCTCGCTCTCTTATGGAATCTAGGTAAGGATGGGATGAGATCAATGCAAGGGCATGACACACTAAATAGGCATCCCCCAAATGGTAGCCATGACTCATCAAATATTCCCTAAGTGCTTGCTCTGGGTACAGAGGGAACAGATGCTTGGGCTGATCCTCGAGGCCAGGAAAGATACGTGGACAGAAAGCTTTGCCACAACACCGAAGTTTGTGAGATAAATGCTTTGAGGGCCAAGAGGAGACATAAATTACTTCCAGCTGTGGAGAGGTTTCATGGAGGCTGTGGTATGTAAGGGAGGGAAAGGAATTTGTATATGGGGACAAGGGAGGCTAGTAGAGATCATTCTACTTACAGGGGGCAGCATGAACAAAAGCAAGCCACCTGAGAAGCGGGCTGGCTGGCTGCAGTGAGGAGTGAGAAAGCCTAGAAGGGTGGGCTAGGGCCAAGTGCTCGGGGAAGCCCCAGAGAAATATGTGGACACATCTGCTCCCCATCCCCACTCCTGCAGAAGCCTGAGCTCCGCTGTGTGATTCATTCATTCCGTGGACAGCCAGCTGGGCTGCTGGCAGGCGTGGGAGCTTCCCTAATGCCTCTGTGGCCTTGGAAGAACAGAGCCAAGTGCCTCAGCTAGAAACTTGGATTTCAGCTGGGAGTGGTGTAGAGAGAACTCAAAGGAAATGAACCCCTCTGAGAAGCACTCACTCTAAGAAGCACCAGTGTCTCAACTCTTGGGCGTTCCCAATGGGCCAGCCGGTCTGCACCAGACCTCCAGGGCAACTAAAAATGGAAAAAATCAAGTTTGTTCTCTCAGAGCCCAGAGAAACTGTTCTTTAAAAAGAAACTGTCTTAAACTTCTTTGTGGATGGTCAAGTCCAGGAGACACTGCCATCTGGTGGTCAAGAAACACATTTACCTTGTGGGCTGGGAAGGAGTCCCTGAACTCGAGGGGCCACAAAGGCAGAAATGGCCCTGAGATTTGTTTAGTACTTTCATAATGGGATGGAAATTATGCTTGCAATCAGTTTAGAGTTGAAATAAAATGTTATTTCTGGCTACTAAATTCCCCGAGGTGCAGGCATTATGCATTGCGCAGATGAGGAAACTGCCCATGAGATAGATGAGGTGGCTGGTCCCATGTCTGAGCTGGTCAAGTGCAGAGCCAGGTCTTATTCCAGTCTCCAGCCGACCTGGGTCCCCAGTAAGTGCCCAATAAATGGTTAAAGTGGTGATTCTCAACATGTGACCCACAAGAGCCTTTCAGAAGGCACATGAGGTTAAATTTAAAAGCTTCTGTAAGATGCCTTTTCCTCCTTAACAATTGTACGGTAAAGTTTTCCAGAGTCTAAATGAATGCAGTGACTTCATCTAGTCCCAATGGCTAATGGGATGTGTGCCTGGGTATTTTTGTTTTAAAAATTCCTGTTGTAATTTCTAATGTAGTATAACCCACATAACCAAAACTGTTTGATAAATTTTTAATTTTTTTTTTTTTTGAGACGGAGTTTTGCTCTTTCGCCCAGGCTAGAGTGAAGTGATGCAATATCAGTTCACTGCAACCTCCGCCCCCTGGGTTCAAGCGATTCTCCTGCCTCAGCCTCCAGAGTACATGGGATTACAGGCATGTGCCACCACGCCCGACTAATTTTTGTATTTTTAGTAGAGACGGGGTTTCACCATATTGGCCAGGCCGGTCCCAAACTCTTGACCTGAAGTGATCCACCCGCCTCAGTCTCCCAAAGTGCTAGGATTACAGGTGTGAGCCACTGCACCTGGCCAAGATCCTCAATAATTTTTAAGAGTATATAAGATCTACTCAGGAGGCTGTAGCAGGAGGATTGCTTGACCCCAGAAGTTAGAGGTTACAGGGAGCTATGATCATGCCACTGCACTCCAACCTGACTAGTTTCAACCTGACTCAGCCTGACTGGAATTCAAATTGCCATTGTGACAGATTTTTGACTAATGAAATATTTTAAAAATGAGTGGCAGCCAGGTGCAGTGGTTCATACCCATAATCCTAGCACTACGGGAGGCTGAGGCGGGTGTATCACCTGAGGGCAGGAGTTCAAGGCACTTTGGGAGGCCAAGGCAGGAGGATTGCTTGAGCTCAGGAGTTCAAGATCAACCTGGGCAACATAGCAAGACCCCATTTCTAGAAAAAAACTAAAAAAAAAAAAAAAGGTGAACTGGGCATGATGACATGTGCCTGTAGTCCCAGCTACTTGGGAGGCAAGAGTGGGAGTATTGTTTGAGCCCGGGAGGTCAAAGCTGCAGTAAGCCCTGATTGCACCACTGCACTCCAGCCTGGGTGACAGAGAGAAATCCCATCTCAAAACAAACAAAAAGCCAAAAATGAATCACTAATATTTTCTGAGTGATTTTTAACCAGCAATCACTGCTCTAATTGATTTATACGTATCACTTCATTTAATCCCCACAACCACCATTTGCAGTAGATGCTATCATCACATTTTATGTCTGTGGACACTGAGAGGTTAAGTGGCCCAGCTGGGAGGTACTGGAGCTTGAACTCTATCCCAGGCAGTTTGTCTCCACAGTCTCTTCCCACTATTCCACTTGCCTTAACATTTGATAACCTTTTGTGCAATTCACCTGATAGACAAAAGTTTTTCAAAATATGAAATCTACGAAACCGGTGAAAAGAAAGGGGATCACTGTTCTGGGTCAATGCCTTTACTTTATAGGTGAGGAAAAAATGAGGCCCAGAGAGGGGAAGTGATTTGCTAAAGATCACACAGCAAAGAATCAGAATCTACAGGGTGTCTGACTTCCAGGTGGGAACTCTCAAAACTCCAACCCGAGTAAGCGTAACCACCTACATGTGAGCAAGCAACACCAAGACTAGGCAAGACAACATCTCCAACAAAAGCAGCTTGATTTTATTGCGGGGAAGCTAGGAAGGAATAGGACAACTGAGGGTCTCCACAGGAACACCATTGCCCAGCATGACTGCCAAGTCCCAGGTCTGTCTGGAAGCCAGGGGAGGAGGATCAGCATCCTAGGAAAGACGGAAAGTTAGGTGGAACAAAGGCGCCATCTGCTGTGGACATAGCGATATTGCAAAGGCAATAAATGCACAAAGAGGCAGGGGTGAGGGGAAAACCTAGGGTGCAGATGCAGGGGCAGGACTAGAACCCCAATGTCCAGCCCTGCACACTGCTCCCATGAAGTCTGTTATACTCCCATGAACCTGTTATACTCAGGTTGGCTGGAACGCATTAACCTTGCTAAGCCAATCACTGCCAAAGCCCTCTTGTGGGGAATTTCCAGGGCTGCCAGGATACTCAGTCAACAGCACTCCCTGTCCTGTTACAGTTTATGTTGGAAAGGCAATGAACAAAAGCATGAGCAAATAAATCTGCCAAGAGTCAGATGATTAAGGTGACTTCAAAACCAATAAACACTCTATCTTTGAGGTTCCCAAGCCTGGCTTCAAGTGGGTCACTGAGGAACCTCTTAGAGCAGACTTCAAAGACATGTTGCCTGAGCACGTGGACTAAAGCTGGCTTATTTAGGTGATTCTTACTGAGTACTGTGCATCTGAATTTCCAGGAGCCTTTCCATACAATACATGGTTACTGAAATATGTACAGATAAGATTGTATGATGTCTAGAAGTTGCTTCAAAACAATCTGGGCAGGAGGGAGTGGGCATGATGTCTAGAATTTGCTTCAAAATAATCTGGGTGTTTCGTTACCCAGATGAAACAATGAGGACAGTGGAGTTTCTAATTCAAGATGTGTGCATTAGGGCTCCCCCACATGGATACAGATAGCTCCAGAAGAGTTTTTTTCCTTCTCTCCCTTCATTCCTTCTTGTCACAGAGTGCTTTTATCAAAAAATAACAGGCCTTGGTGAAATAAACACTAATTGTTGGATCTGGGTGACGGGTACTTGGGGATTCATTCTATCACTCTACTTACATGTGTTTGAAACTTCCTATCATAAAAAATCTAAAATAAATAAAAAGTGCCATGAAAATTACTAAGCCATAGGAAGGAATGATTTACAGATACATGATATGACCTGAATGAATCTTGAAAACATTATGCTACATGGAAAAAGGCAGACACAAAAAGGTCACATATAATGTAATGCCTTTTATATGATCTGTCCAGGGTAGGCAAATCCAGAGTAGTAGTAGAAAGCAAATTAGTGGCTGCCAGGGGATGGAGAAATGGGTAGTGGGGAGTGACTTCTTAATGGATATAGGGTGTGTTTCTGACATGATGAAAAAGTTTTGAAACTAGAGAGAGGTGGTGGTCATACATTGTGAATGCAACAAATGCCACTAAATGATAGACTTTAGCCCATTTATGCCTAGTGTTCCATTATTGGAATGCTAAGCTTGTGGGAGTTATTTATATCCTACTGCTCAAGGTCATCACCAAGGTTTGATTTTTCACATAAAAAACTTTGCAATATTCAGCATAAATGGGTTAAAATAGTTAATTATTATGTCTTGTGAATTTCATCTCAATAAAATAACATGAGAAAACATGTTTTCTATGAGAAAAACACATTAAGCTACACATGGTTTACATCCAACAGATATTACTTTTTTAGTTAAAAAAATTCATATGCCGAGGCCTGGAGTTTCTAATCCAAGATGTGTGCATTAGGGCTCCCCCATGTATATAGCTAGTTCAGGAAGAGTTTTTTTTTTTCTTCTCTCCCTCCATTCCTTCTTGTTACAGAGCATTTTCATAAAATACAATCTTACAGGAAGCCCAATATGACACAGTGCTGTTTGGGAGCTATGGAAGGTCCAGAGCCCCATCCACTCACCCTCCCTACGAAACCCTAGGGGTAGAGGAATGATGTAAGAAACACTGTTCTTCAACATGCTGGAAACAGCTGATGTTTTACTTCCCTAGAGGATAAGCCTTCATATGTGGAGAGATTGCACACCAATCCCCACAAGGCAGGAAAGCAGGTTGGAGGTGTTAGCCCCATTTTACCGATGGGAAGACCAAATCTCTGTAATGTAAAAAGTCCCCAAAGTCAGTGTGAAATGAGGACAGAGTTGGAATCAGAATCCCAGATTCCTCGTTATTCATCCTGGGCTCATTCCTGAATATGCATTCTATCTATGGATGGAAAGTGCATGACGAAAACAGATGCATCTGACATCTTGTGACTTGCATGTGATGTTACCACATACACAGAACACTGCCATGGCTCAGGTTCCAAATGTACGCCTTTGGGAAGGAGGCTATCCTCGAAGAGGACCTACCAGTCAGTTGTGGCTGGCCTCTGTCTGCGGGGTCTCCGTGGGCCCATTCACAGGGACAATGCCACCAGTAACAGTTACAGAACCCCGATTCAGGATATCTGACTTTCTTCCTGCCTCTGCCACTCACCTGGGTGGGACTTTGGTTGAATCGCTTCCCCTCTCTTGGCCTCATTTTTCTCAGTCACAGTCAGGGCACCAAACCACATCAGAGATGTGGTGATCATTGTAATTCACGAGTCAAATGTGCTACATGGGCAATGGCAGCCAGAAGTGCCCTGCTGAGACTGGCTGGATCAATGAGTAAGGTCTGCCTGGTTCCAGAGTGAAGACTGGTGGCACAGTGCCCCTTACTGCCTCACTGGATTACATAAAAGTGAAGGGAACATCTAGCTCAAACATGCTATTGTTTTTGTACCAGTCTGGACAGAGGGCATGCTCAGGAAGCTAACAGTTTCAAGTAGAGAGGGCGGCACAGTCTGTATTAACTCACTTGGTCAGGGCACAGGAGAATAAGGCCCAAGGCATAAGTGTCAACTCTGATGAGACAGTCAGTTTATCAAAGCCAGAGCCATGTGTGGTGATATGTGCCTACAGCTCCAGCTACTTAGAAGGCTGAGGCAGGAGGATCACTTGAGCCCCGGAGTTAAAGGCTATAGTGCACTATGATCACACCTATGAAGAGTTACTACCCTCCAGCCTGGGCCACATAGTGAAACACCGTCTCAAACAAACGAACAAACAAAGGAGCCAAAATGCACTGCTTAGGGTCATAGACTGTAAACTTAAACCCTGCTATCCATGAACTGCAACCCCCAAGTCCGAAAGAGGACTCTGGGAGACTTTACAGTGCTCTGTCCACTCACAGGGGCTGTAAGAATTCCCTGAACTTGTGATTTGCATTAGACAATAATAAAATATTTGTAACCACTTCAAAGAAGGTAGACAGTGGATTGAAAAGAACCCAGGGGGCTCTTCTGCTCCACTCAAGCTCTCAAAGGCCAAGGTGTTAGCTCTGATGAGAGGTGTGAGCAGCAGGTTTGTTCAGCAAGTGAGGGGGCCTTACCCACCTGCCCACTTTGGTCCATCCTGTGGGCTGTGGGGACCAGGTGCCTACTACTCGAGGCCAAGGTAGGAAACAGTCTTTCCTGTTTTCTTCAGGGTTGCAAGCAGAGTGTCCACGCTGTGCTCAGATTCAATGCAGATCTTCTTGTTGGGCAGGTCAATGTCATACTTAACTCCTGCAGGAAGAGGAAATGGGGTATGGGGAAAGGAAGCACAGACCCTCCCAGTTATATAGCAAGAAAGAGTTCAGGCTCTAAATTACTACTCACAACCACCCTTGCCCTTTCCTGTAGAGCAGGGATTGGCGAACTTCTTCTGTAATGGGCCAGAAAGTAAATGTTGTAGGCGCTGTGGGCCACATATGGACTCTGTTGTATATTCTGCATATTTTTTTATAACTCTATTCTTGAACATACAAAAATAGGCTGTGAGCAGGATTTGGTCCATGGGCTGTAGTGTGCTGATCCCTGCTCTATACTAGGGCTTTTTGAGACAGAGACTCACTCTGTTGCCCAGGCTGGAGTGCAGTGGCACAATCTCAGCTCACTGCAACCTCCACCTCCGGGGTTCAAGTGATTCTCATGCCTCAGCCTCCAGAATAGCTGGGATTACAGCCATACGCCACCACATCTGGCTAATTTTTGTATTTTTAGTAGAGACAGGGTTTTGTCATGTTGGCCAGGTTGGTCTCAAACTCCTAATCTCAAGTGATCTGCCCGCGTTGGCCTCCCAAAGTGCTGGGATTACAGGCATGAGGCACTGCGCCCAGCCACGTTTTTTTTTTTTTTAATTGCAAAGGTAATATAGACATTTTTTTTTTCCAAAAAAGCAAACATTTCTAAATAAAAGTAGAAGCAGTAAGGCCCCCTATTGATCCTACCCCTTGAGATCACTGTGAACAGTCCGGCTTCTATCCAGACTTTGTCCCAGATAGACAAATGAAAAATAATTTCTCCAAATGGCATCACACTACATAAACAGGTCTTGCTAATATTTTACTTTTTTCTTTATTTATTACTTTTATTTATTTATTTATTTAGAGACACGGTCTCATTGTGTTATCCAGGCTGGAGTGCAGTGGCACAATCACAAACCACTGTATCCTTGAACACCCAGGCTCAGGTGATCCTCCCATCTCAGCCTCCCATGTTGCTGTGACTGCAGGCACATGCCACCATGCCTGGTTAAGTTTTGTATTTTATGTAGAGACAGGCTTTTGCATATTGCCCAGGCTGGTCTTGAACTTCTGGGCTCAAGCGATCTGCCTGCCTTGGCTTCCCAAAGTGCTAGGACTACAGGTGTGAGCCACTGCACCCAGCCCTTTTTTTTTTTTTTTTTTTTTTTTTTTTGAGACAGAGTCTTGCTCTGTCTCCCAGGCTGGAGTGCAGTGATGTGATCTCAGCTCACTGTAGCCTCTGCCTCCTGGGTTCAAGCGATTCTTCTGCCTCAGCCTCCCGAGTAGCTGGGATTACAGGCATAAGCCACCATGCCTGGCTAATTTTTGTATTTTTAGTAGAGATGGGGTCTTGCCATGTTGGCCAGGTTGGTCTTGAATTCCTGACTTCAGGTGATCCACCTGCCTCAGTCTCCCAAAGTGTTAGGATTACAGGTGTGAGCCACAGTGCCTGGCCCTATTCTTTTTTTAAAAGCTACAATCTTCCATAGTGTGAACGTACCACACATCCACTTAATTAATCCATGTTAAAGGTCATTGAGGATGCTTCTAATTTTTCACCACTATCACAATGTTATAGCAAACATATTTGAACTTGTCTTAAAAAAACTTATAAAAATATTTTTATACAGTGAATTCACAGAATGGAAATTGTGGGGCGACAGATGTTTGACACATTTTGAATGTTTAATAGACATTGCAAAATTGCCCTCCTAAATGACTATGCCAATTTATAGCTCCCCAGCAGCACATGAGAGGACCCAGAGTTTTACTCTGACAAAAGAGCACACAGAAAGAAAGGAAAAGTCTTGAGAGGTTCTAGGCCTGGCCTCACCATTGACTTGCTGGGTGACCATGGATGGCAGGGGTGGGGTCCTGTTTCTCATAGGCCTCAGTTACCTCATCTGTACATGAAGGATTCAGGGCTGGCCAGCTCCTGTGGTCTTTCCAGCTCAAGAATGCTATTAATCTGTGATTCCTCAGCCCTCGCACTCTTCTTTTAGGGCCCTAAGCAACTCAAAAAACCCTCCTGACTTTCTCAAGAGGCCATCCAAGCAGGGACAGTAGGAAAAGATGGGGAGAAACCTGCCGAAGCTCAAAGGCAGATCCTCCAGCAAGGGGCCTTAAAAATCATATGGTTGGCTGGGCGTGGTGGCTCATGCCTGTAATCCCAGCACTTTGGGAGGCTGAGGCGAGTGGATCACTTGGGGTCAGGAGTTCGAGACCAGCCTGGCTAACATAGTGAAACTCCATATATAAAAAATATAAAAAAATAATTTTATATTTTAATAAAATATATAAAAATATAAAAATTAGCTCAGTGTGGTGGCATGTGCCTGTAATCCCAACTACTTGGGAGGCTGGGGCAGGAGAAGTGCTTGAACCTGGGAGGCAGAGGTTGCAGAGAGCCGAGATCACACCACTGCACTCCAGCCTGGGAGACAGAGTGAGACTCCTTCTCAAAAACAAAAACAGGCTGGGCGCGGTGGCTCAAGCCTGTAATCCCAGCACATTGGGAGGCCCAGACGGGCAGATCACGAGGTCAGGAGATCGAGAGCATCCTGGCTAACACGGTGAAACCCCGCCTCTACTAAAAAATACAAAAAACTAGCCGGGCGAGGTGGCAGGCGCCTGTAGTCCCAGCTACTCGGGAGGCTGAGGCAGGAGAATGGCATAAACTCAGGAGGCGGAGCTTGTAGTGAGCTGAGATTCGGCCACTGCACTCCAGCCTGGGCGACAGTCCAGCCTGGGTGACAGAGCAAGACTCCGTCTCAAAAAAACCAAAACCAAAACCAAAAACAAAACCAAAAATCATATGGTTTCCCAGCCTGGGCAACAAAGTGAGATCTTGTCTCTACAAAAAAAAAAAAAAATAGCCCGGTGTGATCCTGTAGTCCCAGCTATTCAGAAGGCTGAGGTGGGAGGATCACTTGAGCCTGGGAGGTTGAGGCTGCAGTGAGCTGAGGTCGCGCCACTACACTCTGGCCTGGATGAAGTTCCTGGGGTGGGTAGGTGTCCTTGAGCTGTCAAACAAAATTAGGCCCGTTCCCACTTCATCCAGAGCCTGCTGCTTTATTTGAGGGGCTCCTGTGCAGTTTCATTTTTAAAGCGTCAACAGGCCGGGCGCAGTGGCTCATGCCTGTAATCCCAGCATTCTGGGGGGCCAAGGAGAGAGGATCACCTGAGGTCAGGAGTTTGAGACCAGTCTGTCCAACATGGAGAAACCCCGTCTCTACTAAAAATACAAAATTAGCTGGGTGTGGTGGCCCGCGCCTGTAATCCCAGCTACTCGGGAGACTGAGGCAGGAGAACTGCTGGAACCCGGGAGGCGGAGGTTGCGGTGAGCTGAGATCACGACATTGCATTCTGGCCTGGGCAACAAGAGTGAAACTCCATCTCAGGGGAAAAAAAAAAAAAAAAAAAAAAAAATTAGCCAGGCACGGTGGCAGGCACCTATAATCCCAGCTACTTGGGAGGCTAAGGCAGGAGAATCACTTGAATCCAGTGGAGGGCACGTGAAGCAGGTTGTAGTGAGCAGAGATCATGCCACTTCACTCCAGCCTGGGCAAAACAGGGAAACCCCATCTCAAAAAAAAAAAAAAAAAAAAAAAGCATCAACAGTAGAAGTTGATACAGATACACAAGATATACATTCCTATACCACAGCTGGGGAAACCCAGGCCTGAGAAACAAGGGCCCACAGTCATATGGAAAGTCAGCAGCCAGGTTCTTTCCACTGTTTCAGTTTCTCTCAGATTAAGATTCCAGTTTACAGGGCCAGAGGTCAGCCACTGACTTGCTGCGGGACTCTGGGCAAGTCACTTAACCTCCTGGGTACTGGCATCAACATCCTCATTCCAAAGGTGAAAAGTACAGCTCAGAGGACTGCTAATGAGATCACGTCCATGTGGAAGCCATTTGAAAACTTAATGTCATTATTATTTAGGGTTTTAAAACAGAAAATTTTAGAAGATTGTGTGACAGTTCATGTAGGGGAACAAGAAAAGAAAAAGTCTTAGAAGGCTGACTGGCATCGCCAAAACTCTGATCACAACTCAGTTATTACCTCATTCAGTCCCAGGACCAGATCCCAGCCCTCTCTGGGCCTCAGTTTCCCCAGCTGTGAAATGACAAGGCTGGATGAGACTGATTGTTGAAAAGAGGTGCTTTAAGGATATCTACGTGTGGCCAGGTGCAGTGGCTCATGCCTGTAACCCTATCACGTTGGGAGGCCAAAGTGGGCAGATTACTTGAGGTCAGGCGTTCAAGACCAGCCTGGCCAACATGGTGAAACCCCATCTTTATGAAAAATACAAAAAATTTGCCAGAAATTGCTTGAACCCAGGAGGCAGAGGTTGCAGCGAGCTGAGATCATGTGCCACTGCACTCCAGCCTGAGCGACAGAGTGAGACTCCATCTCAAAAAACAAAACAAACAAACAAAAAACCCTGCATGTGAGCAATTCAAAATTACTTAAAAAAATTTTTTGAAGCAAAGAAATAGAAAAAGACAAAATTTTTTCAAATTGTTACTTTTTAAAAATCTTTCTTTTTTTTTCTTATTTATTTATTTTTTTTGAGACAGGGTGTTGCTCTGTTGCCTCCACTGCAGTGCAGTGGCATGATCTAGGCTCACTGCAGCCTCAACCTCCTGGGCTCAAACGATCTTCCCACCTCAGCCCCCCAAAGTAGCTGGGAGTACAGGCATGTGCCACCATGCCTGGCTAATTTTTTTGGTACGTTTTGTAGAAATAGGGTTTTACCATGTCGCCCAGGCTGGTCTCAAGAACTCCTGAGCTCAGGCAATCCGCCCACCTCAGCCTTCCAAAATGCTGGGAACACAGGTGTGAGCCACCGTGCCCAGCCCCATTTAAAAAATCTTAATAGAGGCTGGGCAGGGTGGCTCACACCTGTAATCCCAGCACTCTGGGGGGCCGAGGCAGGCAGATCACCTGAGGTCAGGGGTTCGAGACCAGCCGACCAATATGGAGAAACCCCGTCTATACTAAAAATACAAAATAAGCCGGGAATGGTGGCACATGCCTGTAATCCCAGCTACTCGGGAGACTCTGGCAAGAGAATTGCTTGAACCTAGGAGGCAGAGGTTGCGATGAGCCAAGATCGCACCACTGCACTCCAGGCTGAGCAAGAAGAGCAAAACTCCGTCTCAAAAAAAAAAATTTTTTTAACAGAAAATGACACTCAGATGTGTCATGCAGTATACACTGGAGATGACCAACATATTCACTAGTACTGCCATGGTTCCAGAGCTAGTCCTGGCAGTTCTAGTTAATTTGGCTAAATCCCAGCTCCACCATTTACTGACCATGTGATCCCAGATAAGTTAACGTCTCTGAATTTCAGCTGTCTCCTGTTTAACATGGAGCTAGTCAAACAAGCTATCTGAAATGGCTGTGGTTAGGATTAAATGATGTGATCCACATAAGAAACTAACAAGAGTAGTTGGTACGTGCTAAGTACTCAATACATTTTAGTTTTACTGTTATGATCAGCTTAACCCAAAGCCTCTCCTGCAACATCTGCATGCATCTGAACATGGCATAAGTGCATCTGTCTCCTCTATCCCACCCCTAACTGAGGGCCACTCACTCACCTCCAAGCTTATCAAGGACCCGAGAGACAGCTTCAGCACAGCTTCCACAGGTCATGTCCACAGAGAACACGTGCTTCTGAAACAAAGGGGGAGCATGACCCGAGCCCTGCAGAGTGACCCACACACAGTGCCAGCAGACAGGCCCACTCAGGGTCGAAAGAGAAGGCAGAGAGACTGGGTAGGACCTGGTTGGCATCAGACTCATCAGGAGCCTGTTTCTGAGCCCCAGTCTCTTCAACTATAGAGCAGCTAAGAGTTTCTACCTCATAGGTGGTATTCAATGGAATCATCCCCATAAATCCTTTAGCAGTGTCTGGCACACAGTGAATAGAATCACCTGGAGATCTAGTTTAAAATGCTTTTTCCCAGTCCTACCTTCAAAGCACTGATTCTTGAGCTATGAGCTTTGTCTCAGGGCCACCAATAACTCTGACAGGGATGGGCCCCCATACTTCTAACAATGCTGTTCTGGTGGGCCCACTTATGAACTAGAAAATTATTTTCTGCACTAGAGTCACCTGCAGCTTGCAAAAACTACAGGTTCTGGTCAGCAGGTCTGGGCTGGGGAATCTGTTATGTCTAGTCATTATCCCAGGTGATTCTGCTTTCATCCAAGGGCCGCATTCTCAGAGGCAGCATCTGGGTCCAGGGAAGAGAAAGGATTGCCTGGGCTCCCCAGTGGGTTGGAGGCCAGGCAGGAAGGGATCCCCGGCTCCTAGTCTTCATGTAAGCTCTACATTCTACAGTCTCCAGGATATCTAACAGATCAAGGGTCTGAAGGTAAGCACCCAGAAGACAGACAAAGTTTTGTTCAGTTCACTGCTGGATTCCTAATACTTGGAACAGTGCCTGGACAGAGTAGGTGCTTAAAACATATTTTTGAGTCAATGGATAATTGACATGGCTGGTTTGAACTTCTGGGTCTTTTCCTTTGCTTTCACACAAAGATTACATAAACCAATACTTTATTTTAAAATCTCTGGAAATGAGACAATCTGAAATTAGATAAATTTGGCTTCAGATACCAGTTCTGACACTACTAATTGCATGATCATCAATAAGTTACTTCTCTGTGCCTTAGTTTCCACATCTGAACATTGGGGATAAGAGTCCCTCTCTAGATTTGTGAATGGGATGAACACAGGATTTTAAGTGTGGTAGCCAGCATCCAAGATGGCCTCAATGATCTCTGCCTCTGGTATTTATGCCCTTGAGTAATCCCATTCCAAATGTCTCGGGTTGGTCTGTGTGTCTTATAGAATATGGCTTGAAGTGAGGTTATGTGCCTTCTGAAGATATCACAATGTCATAAAAGACACTGTGACTTCTGTCTTGCTCTCTTTCAGGGGTCACTTGCACTAGAGGAAGTCAGCTACCAAATCATAAAGATATTCAAGTAACCATAAGGAGAGGTCCACAAAGTGAGAGACCCAACCCTCAAGCTAACAAGCATGTGAGTGAGCCATCTCGAAACTGGATTCTGCAGCTCCAGTCAAGTCTTCAGATGAATGCAGCTCCAGCTAACATCTCACTCCAACTTTATGAGAGCCTCTGAGCTGGAGCCACTAGGCCAAGCTGTTCCCAAATTCCTGAGTCTCAGAAACTGTGTGAATTACTATAAATATATTTGTTGTTTACTACAAAGTTTTGGGATAATTACTAAGGAGAAACAGATAACTAATACATTAAGGAAATTAGAGCCTAGTACTAGGTTCCATTGGGTAAAAAATTAGCTATTGGGTTGGGCCGGGCGCGGTGGCTCAAGCCTGTAATCCCAGCACTTTGGGAGGCCGAGACGGGCGGATCACAAGGTTAGGAGATCGAGACCATCCTGGTTAACACGGTGAAACCCCGTCTCTACTAAAAAATACAAAAAACTAGCCGGCCGAGGTGGCGGGCGCCTGTAGTCCCAGCTACTCGGGAGGCGGAGGCAGGAGAATGGCGTGAACCCGGGAGGCGGAGCTTGCAGTGAGCTGAGATCCGGCCACTGCACTCCAGCCTGGGTGACAGCACGAGACTCCGTCTCAAAAAAAAAAAAAAAAAAATTAGCTATTGGGTTATTATTAATTTCTTCCATTTGTCTCTCCTGTTTCCCTTCAAAAATCAATGGCTACATTTTTCACGGAGCACTTCAAAATATTTCAAGTCTATTACCTCAATTGGAATTCTGGGTGTAGCGATATATCTTGCTAGAAAATCACAGGCAAAATCTCTGCTCCAGAAGGGCTCTAGTTCCCTAATCTATACCAAAAGGGTATTAGCTAACTCAGTTTTTTTTCAACTTCAGCATGCATAGGAAGAATCTGGGGACCTTGTGTAAAGTGCAGCTCCCAGACACCTGCCTCAACTGGCTCTGTGGATGTGGAGCAGGCCCTGCCACTCCCCATTTTTAACCTACTGGGGAGAGACAGGGAGGCAAAACTACAAACCTGAAAATAAAGTGACTAAGTGGCTTCTCAAACTCTTTCTAAGTCTCTAAACACCTCTGAGTCTGGATTGTCATTGTGCTCTACAGAGGAAACCAAGACCAAGAGTTAAGCAGCTCGATTTTCCAGTGTAGACTGTATGACCTTTGTGACTAGTAAACTACTACTTTTATTAAGGCCAAATCTGCAAAGTCTGCCTTAAAGAAAATGGTCAGTCTTTCTTCTAAACATCTCTGATTTTTTCATCGTTTCATGACTATTCAAAGACAGCAACAATAACAAATTCTGGAAAGAATGATTTGTAGTAGGTATTACAAAATCTTGTGTTTAAAATGTGGTCCTCAACCGAACAATACGATCATCACCTGACAGCCTGCCAGAAATGCACAATCTCAGGTCCCTTCCCAGAAGTCCGGAATCAGAATCCTCATTTTAACAAGACACCCAAGTCATTCCTGCCCACATTACAGTTGAGATGATGCTCTCCTCTATTAAAAAATTTTTTAGGCAGGGCAATGTGGCTCATGCCTATAATCTCAACACTTTGGGAGGCTGAGGCAGGCAGATCACCTGAGGTCAGGAGTTCGAGACCAGTCAGGCCAACATGGTAAAACCTGTCTCTCTACTAAAAATAGAAAAAAATTAGCCAGGCATAATGGCAGGTGCCTGTAATCCCAGCTACTTGGGAGGCTGAGGCAGGAGAATAGCTGGAACCCAGAAGGCGGAGGCTGCAGTGAGCCAAGATCATGCCACTGCACTCCAGCCTGGGCAACAGAGCAGGACTCTGTCTCAAAATAAATAAATAAATAAAAATCTAAAGGCTGGGTGCAGTGGCTTACACCTGTAATCCCAACACTTTGGGAGGCTGAAATGGGAGGATCACTTGAACCCAGGATTTTGAGACTAGCCTGGGCAATACAGTGAGATCATGGCTCCATTTAATTTAAAACAAAAAAAAATGTTTTGCAAAAAAAAAAAAAAAATGATGATGCTCTAGAACATGGATTGGCACAATACAAGCTACCTGTTTTACAAGGTAAAAGGTTTTGTTAAAACATAGCCAAACTGAGGCCAGGTGTGGTGGCTCATGCCTGTAATCCCAGCACTTTGGGAGGCAGAGGCAGGAGGATCATGAGGTCAAGAGATCGAGACCATTCTGGCCAACATGGTGAAACCCCGTCTCTACTAAAAATACAAAAATTAGCTGGTAGCGGTGGCGTGCGCCTGTAATCTCAGCTACTCAGGAGGCTGAGGCAGGAGAATCACTTGACCTGGGAGGCGGAGGTTACAGTGAGCCGAGATCATGCCACTGCACTCCAGCATGGCGAGAGAGCAACACTCTGTCTCAAAAAAAAAAAAAAAAAAAAAGAATCAAAAACAAAAAACCATAGCCAAACTCACTTGTTTACTTTTGCACTAGAATGGCAGGGTTGAGTAGTTGTACCAGAGATCCTGTGGTTTGTGAAGACTAAAATGTTTACTATCTGGGCCTTGTAAAAAAAAATTTGCTGAGTCTTGCTCTAGGATAACCAGCAGAAAATTGATTAATCAATGGTTTGCACTTATATACTGAGCCAAAGTTTGGAAGGGTTTGCAAGATCAACCTAAGAGCTAAATCTACTGATTGTCTATTATATGTCAAATTGTCTTTATACAGTATCTAAGCTAGTCCTCACTGAGCCTGGAAAGAAAGCTATTTATCTTATTTCACTCAGGAGGAAAGTGAAGTTCCCAAGAGTTCACTAAGTGGCCTGCAGTCATGTGGCAAATACCTACTGAGTATGGAATATGAACCTAGGCTTTCTTCGCTCCAGGGAAATCCTGCTCGTTCTGGAATAGCAAAGTACACCACCAGCTCTCATAACCGTGACTCTCAGCAGAAGCTCCGAAACTAGAAATACATTTTTAGGGAGCACAGTTTTTTGCTGCCCAAGGACCTGAAGTCAACAAATACCTGAAACTTTCAGTTGCTGATTATAGGGAGTAGGTCCCATCCCCTACAGTATAAAGGTCAGAAGTCAGAAATCAGCTGCTGGGTATAAACATTACAGTTCAGTGCTCTCCTCCTCCACCTCTGAGGGGCAAAAATAAATTTGAGGGTGATGGAAAAACTATTTCATGGACAGAGTAATCACTTCTTTATAGGAGAAGCTCAAGATTGGCTCTACCACCGGATGCATAACTGGGTAGTTCTGGTTCCTCAAGGCCTCTGGGGTCTTTCATAAAGACTTATAAAATGGGTAGATTTTAAAGTAGGTTTTAAAAGTCAGTAAGTGGGGGCCGGGCACAGTGGCTCATGCCTGTAATCCCAGCACCTTGGGAGGCCGAGGCAGGCAGATCACAAGGTCAGGAGATCAAGACCATCCTGGCTAACATGGTGAAACCCGTCAGTACCAAAAATACAAAAAAAAATTAGCTGGGCGTGGTGGCGGGTGCCTGTAGTCCCAGCTACTCAGGAGGCTGAGGCAGCATGACGTGAACCCGGGAGGCGGAGCTTGCAGTGAGCCAAGATCAGCCTGGGCGAAGTAAGTGGGACGATTTTTTTTTCTTTTTTTGAGACGGAGTCTCGCATTGTCTCCCAGTATATATACATATTAACATATATATATGTTTTTTTCTTCCCTTTCCAGTTTTAAGGCAGTCCCTTGACTAACACCCTCCTTCCTTCAGCTGCTCATCTTGTGGTACATGGTGCCAAGCGCCCTCCTCATTCCCATCATTTGCTCCAGAGGGTCTTTTGTCAAAATCCCCAGAAGATACAGAATACACTGATGATCAAGCTGGACTTTTCCTCACTGCCACCCCCCACAAAAAATCCTGGTGACCTTCACTCTCTAAGTCCCAGGGAGATTAATACTGTCTTCTACCATTGCCACAGGCTGACTTGCTCAACTGGTAGGGCTGATTCTGTCAGATTCCTTATCCATACTTTGTTGTTGGAGGATTTGTCTCAAGGCACCTGGCAAGGTCCAAGGGAAATGACACCTGAGATGTTAGTGGCTCTGCCCAGGGGGCGTCAGGCTCACCTGTCAGCTCCCAAAGGACAGGCTGCTAAGACACATGGCATCTGTGGGATACCTCTTGATATCCACCTGGCCCAGAGCCATGAATTACGCACCTCGAAGAAAATGCTAAACACCACATGACCCTAACCAAGATGCAACTGAGATCAGAGCATCTTCCCAAGCCGGTATGACTGCTTTTGCCAGGCACCTCCGATGTGGTCAGGCCTGGAGAGATGGGGAGCCTAAGGATAAGGAGCTGAATCCTGGCTCTGCCAACTTCAACACGACCTGGAATAAGTTACTGGGTTTTTTATATTTTTATCTGTCAAAGCCCTCAATTCTTTTTTATATAAAAAACGAGACCACGAGCAACAATATACTGAGTGATCTGCAAAGGCAGGCTCAGACTGACTTCCCAGACTCTTGCCACTGAGCAACTGGTGACTTTGAGGGGGGTTCCTGAACCTCTCTGGGGCTTATGGGTTCAGGCTGACAAAGTGTCTCCATTCAGAGTCGCCCAGAGCTGATTTGAAAAGTAAGCCATAGTGGCAGGAAAATTTAGAAAAAATCATGAACCTCTGAAAACCTGCCCGGTCCGTGAGGGAATAACCGGGTCCATCCCCATGCCCAGAGCCTCCCCACCGCCCTCCTTCAGGCCAGCTAAGCGGGCGGGGCAGCCAAGAGGAAGGCTCAGGGAGTAGGCGTCTCAGTTCCCGCTGGCCACCAACTCCCCGCGTCCTGCTGAGCGACCCCCTGCCCCCTCTCTGGGTCTGTTTCTCCGTGTACGCAGGAAAGGTGTGGGCTTGTCGCCCCTGGAGGCCTTCCAGCTCCGACGTTTTGAAGCCTGGCTCCTAGATTAAACTCCCTTCGGATCCCATTTTCTGAAGGGTCGCAAAAGCTGGGGGCTGGGTGGGGTAAGCTGAGCCCTTCAAGAGAAGCATCCGGTCAAGCTGTTGTGCAGCCAAGGAGGAACCCGGGGACTGCAAGTGTGCGTGGCGGGCACGGCGCAACCACTCACCGGCATAACTAAGGCAGCGGCAGCGGGGCGGCGGTGGCAGCAGCGCCTCTGGGCTCGGAGGGCGGGTTCGGGTGCGCTTCCGAGAGTGCGTGCTAGAGGCACCTTCCCGGAAGCCCCACCCTCTCCGGGCCAGGTCGCGAGGGAGGCCCCGCCCCCTCCGGGCCTCAACCCTGCCGGCCGCACCGCCTCCTTTCCGCTGGCCGCGCTTATGGTCACCCGGCCTGGACGGAGAGAGGAGGTGAGAGGAGCGCTGCGTTGGCCTCCATCGACTGTCGGCCTTTTTCAGAACGCCTACTTCGGGTCAAGCTTGTGTTAGGGAATACCAGAAAAGGGCACCGCCTTGAATAGGACAGATTCATCCATCCCTAAAAGGACAGTTTCACTCATTTATTCACCGAGTCAATGTCTATTGAGCGCCAGCCAACGAGGACGCAGCGGTGTAAAAGATGTAGCAGGAGGCTGCGAAGGACGCAAGCAGTGATAGTGCCGGGTTAGCAGAGCTGTCGTGGCAGAGGAGGAAGGGCCCTGACTGCAGTGGGGTGGGGGTGGTTGTGGAAGAGAGGCGGCCTGGGGAGGAGGCAATAATCTGGACCTCAGTTAGCCTTTATCGCCCTATTACAGGCTCTGTCTCTAAATGCAGTCGCATTGGGGGTTAGGGTATCAACATAGGAATTTTGGGGGACACCATTCATGTCCATGTCAGAGTTCAGTCCCTAACAGAGCCATACTGACTAGAGTTTTAATCTCAGCTCTATCATTTACCAGCCGTGTGACCCTGGGCAGATGAACTTACCTCTCTAAGCCTCAATATCCTCACGTATAAGATGGGGACAGTTAAGGTGACTATACAATTTTTTTTATCTAAACCTTTTGCTAGAGAAAGGAGATGCTATTAATAATTTTGCCAGGACAACAGGCAAACACCATGACTGTTTCAGGCAAACAAGGACACATGGTTCCCTCCAGGAAACCTACTTTGTGGTATTGTTGGAATACGTGTAATGTATGCAGACTTCTAAGCACATTGCTTGGCACATGGTAGGCACCAAAATATATAAGTATTCTCTAATTGCTAGGCCCTCGGTTGGCCTCCCTGGCACTGGGTTTTCCCCTGCTCACAAAATACCCCTTAACCATTCATCCCCTACCCAACCTGCCAGGAATTCCCTAAAGATGGAAGGGATGGGGGCGAGGAGGAGAGGGAAGGAGGGTGCTGGCACATTAGGTCCTGTAGAGGCAAGGCTTAGCATCTTGGTAGTCCTGGGTGCAACTTTACACTGGGGCTAGGGATAGCCAGATTGCCATGAGGGAAGGTGGAGGGTGGCCATGAGGGAACGAAATCCTTCCCAAAGGCAACAGTGCACAGGGCGAGCCACCCACGGCATGTTTTAGAGAATTAGGGGTAGGAGTTGGGGGTATGGCTAAGCCTAGAGACAGCAATTTAAAGAGAAGACAGCTTTATGAAGATCTGTTAAAGATCGCAAATAAAGGCCTATTAAAGAGAAGAAAATATGCCAGACTGTAGTTCCTGCATAAAGATATACATACATTCCGTGTATTTACATAAAAATAAGCCTGAAATCAACTACAGCCAATGTTACTAGAAGTTATCTTGGATAAGTGTAGGATTTGCAGGTGGAATCCCAATGTGCCTACTGTTTAATTTTCAAATAACACAAAGTAGCATACAGTGAAAAGTAGGTCTCCCTCCTACCCTGACCTCTCCTTCTTAAACAAAAGGCATACTATATGCAGTTTTGCACCCTGCTTTTCTCACTTTATAAAATATCTTAGAGGTTATTCCTGGGCCAGGTGCAGTGGCTCATACTTCTAATCCCATTGCTTTAAGAGGCCCAGGTGGGAGGATCACTTAACCCCAGGAGTTTAAGACCAGACTAGCAACATGGTGAAACCCCAGCTCTACAAAAAACACAAAAATTAGCCAGGTGTGGTGGCATATGCCTGTGGTCCCAGCTACTCAGGAGACTGAGGTGGGAGCATCACTTGAGCTTAGGAGGTCAAGGCTGCACTGAGCTATAATTACACCACTGCACTCCAGCCTGGGTGACAGAATGTGACCCTGTATTTTAAAAAAAGAAAAGAAAAGAAAAAGAAAAAAAAAGATTATTCCTTAACAGTACATATCAATCCTTTTCTTTCTTGCCTTTTTTTTTTTTTCCTCTTCGAGATGGAGTCTTGCTCTGTCGCCCAGGCTGGAGTGCAGTGACGCGATCTTTGCTCACTGAAACGTCTGCCTCCTGGGTTCAAGCAATTCTCCTGCTTCAGCCTCCCAAGTAGCTGGGATGATAGGCGTGCACCACCCTGCCCGGCTAATTTTTGTATTTTTAGTAGAGACAAGGTTTCACCATGTTGGCCAGGCTGGTCTCGAACCAGCCTGACCTTGTTGGCCAGACCTTGTGATCCGCCCACCTTGGCCTCCCAAAGTGCTGGGATTATAGGCAATGAGCCATCTCTAAGCCAATGAGCCTGGCAAATGGGCATATAGAATCCCTGCCCTTTCTGGCTGACAGTGTTGTTGTGACGATAGGAATGTACGCACTGTAGGTATGTATAGATGGTGGGTTCCTCCTGGTATCATCTACCTCTAGACCCAGCCTCCTGGGATGACTCTTTCTTTGACAGATGCTGGGGAGTTTAATTCTTTGCAAAGAAAGGTTTTGTAGCTGCTTGTCTGCTCCCTGCTTTCCCCACCGCAGGAAACCAAGTGTCTGTTTGTTGTATGATAACGCAGGTATACACTATTTGCCTCACTGCTTTATCCATCAAGGAACCCCTTTATCTAGGACCAAAGATTCTGAGCTGAAAGGGCCCTCAGAGCAGCCAAGTCATGCGTGAGAAGAGAAGGGCTATGAAGTGGAAGCTGAGGGAGCATGGACTGCAGGCTTGGGAGAGGCAGCATGGTGTCCTGCAGAGCCGCATGCTGGCAGAACTGGGTCTACAGACACATTTCATTCAGTTCCTAAAGTATTCAAAGTATTTTTTGATTAGTTGACAACAGTTAAGAACCCTGAGTATGCTTGTACAACATTGTGAATATACTTAATGCCACTGAATTATAGAGGAATTTTATGTTCTGTACGTTTTACCACAATTAAAAAATAGGGGCCGGGCGCGGTGGCTCAAGCCTGTAATCCCAGCACTTTGGGAGGCCGAGACGGGCGGATCACAAGGTCAGGAGATCAAGACCATCCTGGCTAACACAATGAAACCCCGTCTCTACTAAAAAAAACCAAAAAACTAGCCGGGCGAGGTGGCGGGCGCCTGTAGTCCCAGCTACTCAGGAGGCTGAGGCGGGAGAATGGCGTAAACCCGGGAGGCGGAGCTTGCAGTGAGCTGAGATCCGGCCACTGCACTCTAGCCTGGGCGACAGAGCGAGGCTCCGTCTCAAAAAAAAAAATAGGGCATGGTGGCTCACGCCTGTAATCCCAACACTTTGAGAGTCCCAGGCAGGAGAATTGCTTGAGTCCAGGGGTTCAAGACCAGCCCGGCAACATGGTGAGACTCCATCTCCACGAAAAATTTAAAATTTAGCTGGACATGGTGTTGTGTGCCTGTAGTCCCAGCTACTTGGGAGGCTGAGGTGGGAGGATCACTTGAGCCCAGGAGGTCAAGGCTGCACTGAGCCGTGATCATGCCACTATAGTCTATGCGACAGAGCAAGACCCTGTCTCAATATAAAAATAAATTTACTTCTAGACTGACATGTAAAATTAGTTGCTTTCTTATTACAAGCCTAGGAAAAGCATTTTTAAAAATAAAAATTCTAGTTTTTAATTTTTATTTTTTGAGACAGGGTCTTGCTCTGTCACCTAGGCTGGTGTGTGGTAGCGTGAACATGGCACACTGCAGCTGTGACCTCCTGGGCTCAAGCGATCCCCCACCTCAGCCTCCTGAGTAGCTGGGACCACAGGTGCATGCCACCACACCCAGCTAATTTTTTTTTTTTTTGTATTTTTGTAGAGATGGGGGTCTTGGCATGTTGACCAGGTTGGTCTCATAAGCAATCCTCCTGCCTTGGCCTTCCCTAAGTGTTGGGATTACAGGCGTGAGCCACTGCACCTGGCCTAAAGAAGTTTTTAAAAAGGGTGATGGCCAGGTGCGGTGGGTGGCTCACACCTGTAATCCCAGGACTTTGAGAGGCAGAGGCAGGCAGATCACTTGAGGTCAGGAGTTCAAGACCAGCCTGGCCAACATGGCAAAACCCCGTCTCTAGTAAAAGTACAAAAATTAGCTGGGAGTTGTGGTGGGCACCTGTAATCCCAGCTACTTGGGAGGCTGAGGCAGGAAAATCACTTGAACCCTGGAGGTGGAGGTTGCAGTGAGCTGAGATCGCACCACTGCATTCAAGCCTGGGCAACAAAGGGAGACTCCATCTCAATAATAATAATATTAATAAAAAGGGTGAAACCTATTCAACTAAAGTCCTCAGAATATTTACATTGTATTTTTTAAGTGAGACCAAAAAGTTTTTGTACTATTAGTAAATGTTTTTAAAAAAAGAACACTGAGTCACATAACCTAGATTTTTAATATCTCCTGAAAAACTGAAAGATCTGGAAACATGTCTATAACTGGCAGGATAGGCCAAGTAATAGTGTAGTAACAAACAATCCCAAAATCTCAATGGCTTAAAACAACAAAGATTTATTTCTCATGTGATACGCCCATAACTGGCTGAGTGGGTTGAAGTTGGAGGAGTGGCTCTGTGCAAATTGCTTTTGCTCAAGGACCTGGTTTGAGAGAGAGTCACCGTATAGAATGGCACTGATCTGAAAGTGTCCCGCCAAAATTCATATGTTGAAACCTAACTGCCAATGTGATAGTATTAAGAAGTGGGGCCTTTTGGAAGTGATTAAGTAATGGGGGAAGAACCCTCATGGATGGGATTAGAGAATTTATAAAAGATGTTGAACGGAGTACTGTAAGCCCTTTTTGCCCTTCTGCCATGTGAGGGGACAGTGATCATTATAGAAGCCATCATAGTCCCCAGCACTCTTTATGGACTCCCAAAATAGCAGCCAATGGTCAGGGAACATTTGCCATGCTGTCCTCTTCCTCCTTTGTTCTCTGTACCCCTGGGGCTTCAGGTTTCTAAAGATGTGTTTAATGAGACAACCCAGACAAACCTGTGTTCAGTTCCTCGCTGTTTCAGGCATTTAATCTCTCTGACCCTGTCTCTTCTCTTGTAAAATAAAGATAATAATTAGATGTAGCTCATCGTGCTGTGGTGAGCAATAAGACAACACTCAAAATATTCAGCTCAGGGGTATCCCTATCTGTTGAAATGAGCCGTTTGAAGATGAGATGAGTTTTTTTGTTTTTGTTTTTGTTTGTGTGGTTTTTTTTTAAAGACAGAGTCTTATTCACTCTGTCACCCAGGCTGGAGTGCAGTGGCACAATCTCAGCTCACTGTAACTTTCACCCCTTGGGTTCAAGCGATTCTCCTGCCTCAGCCTCCTGAGTAGCTGGGATTACAGGCATGCATCACTGCATCCGGCTATTTTTTGTATTTTTAGTAGAGACGGGGTTTTACCATGTTGGACAGGCTGGTGTCGAACTCCTGGCCTCAAGTGATCTGCCCAACTCAGCCTCCCAAAATGCTGGGATTACAGGCCTGAGCCACTGGGCCTGGCCTTCGATTAGGTCTTATGTATATTTTATTCTTGTTTCTTTTTTCCTTATTGGGCTTTGAATTTCAAGTGATATAAACCTGAGTCTGATTCTGAGCTCTGCCCCTTTCCAGCTATGGGCCAGTCATTTAGCCTTTCCGAGTCATAGTTTCTACATCTGTAAAAGAGTTGATACTTCATAGAGTTTTTGTAAGGATGTCTTGAAAAACTGTAACTAGCACTGTGACTGTCACATAATAGGTGCTTGATATATATGCTGTGTTAGTTATTCCTCTTCTAAGCCACAGGAGGTGAGGACTTTTAGTATGTGGTACCAGAGTGTGCAGCAAAGAACCTTTTGCAAAGAGCTCTGGCTGCAGATGATCAGGATTTGCCATGGACTCCAGAACTCTCAAATCACTTGGAAATTTGTCTATGCAGCATTATCTGGTGTCATGCCTGAGATATTGAAGAAAAAGCCCCAGCCTTTCAGGGGTTTCTGAGAAGACTATGCCTGTTTTCTGTATTCATAACTGTATCTTCCTTCTCTGGGCAGTATCGACAGTGGGTAAAAGAATATGGACTTGAAGTCAGAGTCCTAGCTTCTAGCCCTAGCTATGTGACCAAGGGCGAGTTGTTTACCTCTCTGAGCCTGTTTTCGTAGTTGAGAAACAGGAAATAGGGATGTCGTGAATATTAAATGAGATCGTTCTTGGAAAGAATATTAGCAAGTTACCTGGCCCATGGTCAGTGCTCCACAGAGTCTGAGGAGGTGAGATACTTTTCAAGATACAATGTCAAAGAAGGGAGGAATGCAATTAGGCATGTCTTTCTAAGCCAGTAGAGGGCCTCTTTGGATCTCTGTATGATCTTTTTTTTTTTTATTTTTTTGATCCGGAGTCTTGCTCTGTCACCCAGGCTGGAGTGCAGTGGCATGATCTTGGCTCACTGCAACCTCTGCCTCCCGGGTTTCAGCGATTCTCCTGCCTCAGCCTCCCGAATAGCTGTGATTACAGGCACCTGGCTAATTTTTGTATTTTTAGTAGAGGTGGGGTTTCACCATGTTGGGCAGGCTGGTCTCAAACTCCTGGCCTCAAGTGATCCATCCGCATCAGCCTCCCAAACTGCTGGGATTACAGGCATGAGCCAACACACCTGGCCTGGATCTTTGTATGATCTTTGCATGGTAAGGAGCAAAAGGCAAAGAGGTTAGCAGTTTTTGGGGAGGTGAATTAAAACGTGGATGCCTCATTTTCAAAACCTCTTGTAAGGCTGGGTGAAGTGGCTCACGCCTGTAATCCCAGCACTTTGGGAGGTTGAGGTGGGAGGATTGCTTGAGCCCAGGAGTTTAAGACCAGTCTGGGCAACACAGTGATACCTTATCTCTACAAAAATTTTAAAAAATTAGCTGGGCTTGGTGATACATACCTGTGGTCCTGGCTACTTGGGAAG